AGCAAATGATTCTTTGGCGTGCACTGCTCCGGCTTGAGACGTGTGAGTATCACTTGGTAGCCGGCCTCCTCGGCCTGCAGCTTGCGATCCGTGTCAATGATACACATGCAATACATGCCCTGTAACGTTGTCTCCGGCTTGCAGTTGCTGGTGCCCAGCTCGTGTGCCTGATCCGCCGTATGCGCTATATACAAATAGTCCTTCATATTGAGCACCTCTTTGAAGCGGGCGCTCAGTGGATAAGTGATGTGTGGCATTGGCTGCAGTGAACCGTAGCAGCAGGGACAGCAAACGAAGCCCGCATTCACGCGCTGGCACTGCTGCAGCACAATGTCCGTGGCTGTGCCGCAGGCATGCAGCGAGGCGCCTATATCGAAGCGACCCATGAAATAATCAATATTGCACTGATAGAAGACACAGTTGCTCAGTTTCAGTTCGGTTGCACGCTTCTGGGCGTGCGCCAGTGAAAAGGCCTTGTTCTCCAGTACAATGATGATACACTGGGGCAGCTTTAGAGCGAGCAGTATGGCCAAGTGCCCAGTGCCGCTGCAGAAGTCGACGATACGATCGCCAGGCTGGGCCAGTGAGACAACCGCATTGGCCATGTTCTCGAGTTGTTGACGCTTACGCTCCAGTCGCTCCGCCGGCAAGGCTGAACTCTTGGCATGCGTCGGCTCAATGCACTGCCAGTCGATGAGCTGTTCCCCAAACGAAGGCTCCGAATCGACAGTGAACTGCAACTGTAGTGGTGACAGCTTGGACAATGCTGCCTCCACTTCGGACTGACTGGTATAAATGCGATTTCGTGGACGATAACGCTTCGGATCAGCCTTATAGAGACTCGTCTCCTCACAATCGGGTATGCTAAGTAACTGTGTATGCTCCGCTGGAGCCACAAGAATAGGCACATACAGCTCGTGTAGGATGCGAGCACAACTTGAGTCGAAGCTCTCAATCTACAACACAATTGATGAGTATATAAATAGATTACAATTCACTAAAGCGTACACACCTCGCTGAACCAAGTGCTGATCAGTGGAAAATGCGGCAACATCTGTGCGCAATGTTGGAAGACTAGACGCAGCAGTGGATAGAGTATCAGATCAGCAATGGTAAAGCTAATACCCTCGGCAAAACGATGTTCGATTAGGAGCTGTTCCTTCGGTATGCTGCATTCGATGAGCACACGCTCCTTGCGTTTCAGTGGGGTACCGTTCTCTGTTAGATTGGCCTGCTCTCTGGCCAATTTATAGATGTTATGCATGCGCACCGGCTGATTCATGTGCTGCTCAAAACGCACCACTTCGACGGGCACCTCACGCAACTGGAGCTCCCCGCTTTGTAACTGGCTGACCAGATTAACCACATCTACTTCACAGAAACGCGTCCATATGGAGGCCTCCGCTGGTGCCAGAAGGCAGCTACCCTTGAATCCCAATAGTTGACGCATATGCTTGTTGGGTTGGCGTGCTACGATCTCTCGGCAAACGGCACAGGTGCCTGCAATATAAATGTTCCCATCCCGCTCATAGATGGGCAGACGCAGATCCCGGAGGGCGGGTAGCGTGGCGGCATCGCGACACGTGATATGTTCATCGGTCAGTTCGCGTCTCAGCTGGGAGCTGCGTAAAGCAATTTTACCAGCACCGATTTTACTTGCGACAAAGTTAACTTTAATATTTCGGGGCTCCTTGAGGTAGCGATATGTGTAGAGCGCTAGGAACGAAGGCACGCTGGTATAAATCGTTGTTTCCGCATTCTGGGTGCTTAACTCAATCTCCACATACAGTTGATCCATAGTTTAATTAATTAAACCAATCATTTAACTAAGGAGTATGAAATTAAAACAAAAAATCAGTCCAAACTCAAGACCAACAAATAAAAATAAAATCAAGTGTGTTTGAGGTTATGTGCAAAAATAAATAAAATCAGCTGTTTACTGCCAACAGGCGCTGGCAGCAGCTAACATCCATTCACATGTCAACGCGCGGGGGAATTATTTGAATTGGTTGTTCGTACATTGCGCTACAGTTTAACCAATTTGCACTTGTTGTAATGTTTTTGTTGTAGCGACACTTTAATTCAAATAAAATATTGCGTAGTTAAGCATACAACAAAATCGAAATTGCGCCACAGCTACCCATAGACAGTCACAGACATTTCTATGTATTCCAAGCCAGGTACCTGGGCCAGCGCTCAACGCTATATCGAACCGAAACGCCAAAGTTAGTTTAAATTGACCAGTTGTACGAAACAGGTGCGTGTTTTGCCTACCTAAATGTGAATTATAAGAGCAGGCCTGAAACTTCTAATTTGTTTTCCACCAAATTACCATTATTACCCATCAGCTGTGCATATTTACAATGCGCGTACGTGTGTGTGTTCGTTTGTTTATTTGTTTGGATATGCGCCTGCCCAGTGGCGAATGCAGTGTATTGCAAGTGCTACAAACGTCATATGAGTGCAACTAAACTGCATTCAAGTCAAGGTCATCGGCTCATTCATTAAAATTGTATTTTAGAGTGAGAACGGATGTAGCCCCTTCAAAAAAAAAAAAAAAAAAAAAAACAACAGAACTCTAACAATCATTATATAATTACTGTAAGCGCATATTTAATTAACTCTCTCTTTCTCTATCGCTCTCTGTCTAGCTTTGTTTGTAAAGCTCATTCAAGCAGCGCTTTAAATGCGCAATACTCCCGCTAAGTTGAAAAGAAGAACCAGTTAATGCTCTAATTGAAAGCTTATGACTAAGGGATACCCTGTATGCCACTTATTTACATGTCATTCAATGTTAATAAATAATATGCCGGGTATATAAATTGAATTCAAAAAAAGGCATTGTATAATTTAGTCGATTAGATTAGGCAATATTGCGCAGGGCAATTGGGTTTGTTTATGTCCATCAATTGCAAGATTGCAGTCGCTTGTTAGTTACATATATATATATATATATATATATATATATATATATATATATATATATATATATATATATATACATATACATATATATACATATGTCTAAATGATTAACATTAAGTTCGATTAATTAGGTGCGATCACGACTTGCTTTGTGCTTTGATTGAGCAAAGCAAGAGTTACTATACTCGGCATACTACTAACACTACTACTATACTACTATACATACTAACACCACTAAGTAAGCGAGAAACAAAATTTAGAGCATATTTGTCTTCGAAGCTATCATAGTTTTGTGCATGGTTGTGCGTTCTAAGATTGTTATCTTGTTTTATCCAAGCATAAACATTTATTAATTTTTCTGTCTTCTTTTTTGCGGTCATATATCATAAATTTCAATCTGTATTTTATTCAAGTTTGAACAAAAACTTTTTTTTTTTTGTATATTATTTTATCTATTTTTTAATTATCCCCCTAAAATTTGTTTTCTTCTACATTGAATCTGTAACTTAATATTTACAGAATTTTAATAGTTATTTGTTATTCGTATTAGCTACTACTCCTATCCGTGAAACCACAGCTACTTTGTAAATATGTATATATATATATATATATTTTTTTTTTTACATTTCTCAAGATTTTAGTGTATATTCAAATTATTATTCGAAAAAGTTGTTGATGCAGTGCCTCAATTGCAGGGCTAGGATAAGAGGTAGGGGAAAAAATGTAGCCAAGTCGCAATCAAAATGTAAACAGTAAAATGCTATAAAAACTTAAGCAAATAACAAAATTAGCTGAGCGAATGTAGCAGGCGTGACCCACACAAAGAAACACACACACACACGCACACAATTGCAGTCACACGCACTGCCTTAAAGATATGAAGATGTTGGCAACGTTGCGACGTTGACGTTGACGTTAGCGTCGACAGCGCCGTCAGCTGCGACATCCACATCGACTGCGGCAACGAACTCGTTTCAATTGAAGCGCTGCTGTCGTCCCCTTCGCATCGTCCCCCTGAAAAAGCTGAAATTCAATTCATTTGGCTTTTGAACGCAAAGCCGAGCACTTTTCGATCGCATTCAACATCATCGCGTGTGTATTCTGATCTCTTACCATATATATTATTTTTTGATTATTTTGCATAAGCATCTCTGTTCGTAGTGTGATAAAAAGTATATTGAGTTTACAATCCTTAGATTGTTGCACTCCCTCAAATCAAGTTGTTAAGATCTTAAGCTTTTCTTAGAGTTCTCAAATAATGTTCTATAAACAGAGTATTCTGAAGTCGTCGGCAAAGCTCTTAAATGTATTCTTCTCTTTCCGTTGTATTCCGATAAAGGCAAGAACAGCAACATACATAGATAGATAATAAAAATGGATCAGTGGAACAATGTGGAGCTGACGAGCATTACCAAAAAATCGTACACATTAAATCACGACTACGATGGCGCCCAAAGGCTGACCAAGGCGAACGAGAGCTCAAATGCAACGTCAACAAATGGAAATGGCAATGCCAATGGCAGCGGGAATAAACCGTCGGACAGCAGTCAGGTGCTGCAGCCCGGCTCGGATATAAAGCCTAAGCTGCAGCTGGAGCAGGTGGAGCCATTGGTGCGACGTCTGTACGGTATCACAATTAGCGAGCTAAAGGAGCTAAAGGCCTACGATGATCGCAACTATCTAATACAGGAAGATTGGTGAGTAAAAATATCAGAGAGAAAACAATATTTGAAATTATCCTAACATTTTAGAATAAGTGCAAATTCATTACATTTTGTTTTAAATTAATTTCTTTAAAATCATTATTTCACTTGGAACAATTCAAATTTCATATTTCAAAAGAGTATATCAGGAATGCCCGAATTCTACAGATTTTTGTTTATACTTGAAATATATATATATATATATTTTTTTTTTTTTAATTTATTAAGTTACATCATTTTTTAATTATACAAACAAGATCTCTTCAAAATTTGTTAAAGCCCAAATATATATACATATGTATCTCATTGCTAAACTCTAGATTGCTAGAGATCTATGAAAACATACATAAAAAAATAAGAAAATTCAATAGGTACTGACTATAATATTTATAGTTTATTGTCTTGCATATTCTCCAACAAAAGTTTAAAGATCGTCGGCGAGGGTATTTGAACACAAATGACAAATATTTACAAGCGGCGCGGAAGGGGCGGCTAAACAGAGACACAAACACATGCATACATAGGTTTATTTATAGCAATATTAGTTAAAGTTAGTCGTGCGGGGGGCAATGAAGCTTGACGTAGTTGCCGTGTTTGTTATTATTCTCTCGGTCACCTTGACAGCAGCCCATTTTCGTTATCTAGAAACACGCTGAACACTTACCTTGGCGCATCTCCTTCAGATCATATGATCAGTTGCTTCATAAATCTATCCAAACACCATTCCCAGCTGCAGCTGCCAAGTGCTTGCTGCGACTTCTGGCGCCATCTGGCGGGCTGCAATGCAGTTCATATAACACCGTTGTCCTAATTGGAATTTGTATTGCCGCTTACTGAGCGGCTCGAGTCGACCCTAATTATTTACATTTCTAATGACTCATTTGATAAGTATCTATATGTGCAGTGTTTGAGACTACAGCCTTAGTCAGCTTAGTATTTCAATAAATTAACTTATAACAAATTGATGGCACTTGAATAACAATTACTACACGATACAAATGCATACAGGGCAGGTTATTTGAGTAGGCGTGGCTTGTGAAAGCCAAACATGCTTAACTTTGTTTGATTCTCGCTAATCGGCACCGACTTGGTACGCCCCTTCGCCTTTGGCTTGGACAGACCGACGCGCCTAGCAACGGGTGCCAATTTTAGCTGTGGCTTTGCTTGAGCCTGGATGCGCGGCAGCGGAGCGCTGTCATCGTCCGAGGATAGCAGAAGAATGTCTTCGTTACTAGCAGTTGTTGCTGAGGTGGTTGTTGACTCCACGTCCAGTTCTGGAATGTTAGCTTCCCTCGGCTGTTCGTTTGGCTGTTCTGGCTGCATCTTTTGCGGCACCACTGGCTGTTCATTTTCCTGCTCCACTGCCGGTGCCTGTAGCTGCTTCTCGTCTGACAGTTGCTCTTTAGGAACCCTTGGCATTCGCTCTGTTTCCGAGGTGCGAGCACTGAAGAATCGACTGCGTACCTCTACCTGCTCTAGCACCTCGGTCAAATTGCAGCGCTTCGAGGGATTAACTCTGGACTGCTCCATTGACTTCAGGGGACTGCATTTGCTAGGGCTCACCAGGCGCAGCAATGATGCGTTTTCACAGACAGCAGGCGGGCGTTGTAGTGACTCCTTGGCAAAAGGGTTGTGGCGACTTTTACTCTGTACAGGCGAAGATGGGGGTGTGCTCTGGCTGTTACTCCGGCTCGGGCTGCGTTTACGTTTGCCCTTGAAGCTGTAAACGTTTATCAGTTCAGCCTCTGTGGGCTTTGCTTGCTCCTGCCGTTGATTGGCCTCGATCTCAGCCTGTATGTTCTGGCCCACAAAGTCGATTCTCTTGAAGTACAGCGCGCAACTGGTTTGCTTCAGTTCCTGTGGAGTTTCCTTGGTTTCCTTTTGCCAAATACTTTTGTGCTTGCTGCGCTTAATGGCATTTGCTGACGCCGCTTTTGTGGCAAGCTGTGTAGCCTGATCCGGATGCCAGTTATCCAAGGTCTTGAGAGTAAAGGGATTTAGATTACCCAATGCCAGCTGCATTGCCTTTTCGCTATCTGTCAGCAATGAGCCCGCATTGCTGCAATAGCGTTCGTCCGTTTCATAATCCTCTAGGGCGTGCAGCCTTTCCATGCGTTTCTCTAGTGGATTGTAGATGTACATGTGCTTGAATGTCGCCTCTGCCTTCATGAAGTTTTCTATGTAGTCATCATCAACCTGCAATAGAAATGTGAACATGTATTTTTTCCCAATTGTATGCCAACTGTTCGTACTCACCTCCAAATTACGCATATTCAGATATTGTGGTATCTTCTTAAGTGCTATCCGCATATCGTCTTGCTCCGTTTTCAGTATGAATTTACACGCTTTCGCCAGGCCAATGCCAGGCAGTGAGTCCAGGTAATCACAGCCCGATAAGATGCACATGCGACGAAACTTTTCGAAGTGATAGCGTTCCTTCGAGCAGCCCATGGCCAGATGAAACTTATCGGCTTCGACCAGCAAACCGTTACCATTGAGATCCAACTTAAATATGACTTTCTCTGCACCAAAGAGAGTCAGGTCCGAGTCCTCAGTTATGATATACTCTGCTATACCCGCCTTGTTAAGCCACGCCATTTGTGCATCGGCCTCATAGGGCGCCACAATGCAGTCGACGTTGCGCTCGCGGCACCTTTGTATGAGCCGCAGCGCCATCTCGTGTGTAACGTCGACACCACGACGCATCTGAGAGCGCGCTTCTTCTACACGGCCCAGCCTCAACAGTTCTTTGGCCCGTTTCTGACTCTGTTGACGCGCTTCGCGGCGCCGCTGCTCAGTGAGTGCCTTGGCTGGCAAATGTTGTCCGTCGAATACCAGAATCACCTTGATATCGTAGGACATCAGCATTTGGACAAATTTCATGCAATACTGTACGTAAAGATCTGTATCCTCGCCGCGCACAATTTTTTCAGCACAGCTGAAGACACCTTTATGCAGCCAACAGTAACTGTCGACGGCAACAGTGCTACCTCTCAAGTCTTTTAGGTTCACCTTGGCTGATGCCTTCTCCAAAAACGGTATCAGCCCGGTTATGCCCATCACAATTGCTATATATTTTATTATTAAGTTGAATTAAATTGAGTACGACATTGGGCAAAATAATAAGCAAGAAAAAAATACGCGCCAAAAAGAAAACAATCTTTGCGCATGCTGCTTCTTACTGCTGCCAATCGCCCCGAATCGCGGGTGATTAGAAACATTTCTGCGCTTCGCAACACTACAGAAATTTAATTCAAAATTAATTTTTTTCGTTTTCTTTGCTTTAGCAACGTCAAGAATCCGCTGATTGTTTCGCATTCGCCACATGGTTATGTGCTGAAAATTCTCAACGCCTTGGATTCCAAAAAGGAAGAATTTGTTGATGCACAAAATCAACTTTTGCTCTATTTGGGTAAACACTGAATATATTTACACAACTGTTGATAGTAATAACTGTATCTTTTGTATATTATATGCAAAAATAGCCAAGCAAAATGTGGTATGTCCCCGACCCATCGCCAATGCACGCGGAAAGTATTATTCTGTGGAGCAGATTAACGGAAACAATCATGTGGTGCGCCTATTGGAATTTATACCAGGTCAAATGTTCCACGAGGTGCCGACAACCAAAAATTTGCTCTATCAAAGCGGTGAATATTTGGCCAAATTGGATCGAGCTCTGAAAAAGTTTACACATAAAGCGTACGACACACACAAGACACTCTGGATGTTGCAATCGGTGCCGCAGCTGCGCGATTTTTTGTACGTGCTCGAGGATCATCAGCGTAAGGCCTTATGCGAGGAGGTAATCGAGACATTTGAATCGAAAGTGCTGAGCGTGCTGCCCACACTGGAGCTGCAGATCATCCATGGCGATTACAATGAGCAGAATATCGTGGTAAATGCGCTTGCTCAAGTAGCAGGCGGAGATGCACATCGTGTGACGGGCGTCATTGACTTTGGCGACACAAGTCGATCGCCCTTGATCTTTGAACTGGGAATTGCCATGACCTACATGATGTTGCAAGCTAAGGATTTGGTAAGTGGTGGCATTTTCCTTGCCGGTTATACCAGCATCCAGTCAATTAGCACCGACGAAAAAAACTATCTCAAATATTGTGTGGCCGCTCGACTCGCTCAGAGCTTGATCATGGGCGCATATACGCACACTCTGCATCCAGGCAATGATTATGTCCTGGTCACCCAGGCGCAGGGCTGGCTGCTTCTCGAGCAACTGTGGCGAGAGAACCTGGATACAGTTGATGAGCTGTGGCAGACAACGGCCCATCAATATCTCACACAAAGCACTAAATAGGTCAAACCAGAATTCCTCCGCCCTTCACTAAAAATTTGATGTCAATTAATCGTAGAATGTGTCCAATTTGTAGTATTGAAGTATCTTTGCATTTTACTTTATTTTATGTATTATTATTTTAATTATTGTTATATAATCTTTTATAATTTACAATAAAACTTGTTAAACAATTAAATGTATAGTTTTATCTTATTCAATTTAATTTTAGTGGGCGAATAACTATATATATATTTTTTAATAATTCAAGGAAAATTTGCACTTTGAACTAATTAACAGCTAAGTAAATTACAGTAAAACTAAAAACAATTAATGAAAATTAATATAAAACTGCGAAATAAATGTTATTTGCAATATACAAGCGCATTGAGGGATTTGCTGTATAAGAACCTTCAAAATGATAAATTAGGTTGCTAAATGTGAATTCAGTTGAGTCTATGTATATACATATATATAAAAGATATACATATATAGAAATAATCACCCGGCTACTTAGGCTAGTTGTTACTTTATGTTCTTAGAAGCTAGACAATTTACAAAGTATGCTCATGCCAAAACTCTTCTGTTTACACAAACGTTGCACAAAGTACAAATATATATATATATAGTATATATCAATATATATAACAAAGGTATTCCAATATATCAAAATTCAGAGCTCGAATTGTTATTTTTACTTGTTCATCAAGTTTTATTTATTTTTGCCGCTTACTTGTTTTATTTTTATTATTTATTTTCTTTTTTTTTGGTTTTGAATGAAACAAATTTAAGTCTGGGGTTTAGAAATTATAATTAAACAAAAATCCAATATTGTAATATGATTGCTTATTCGAGATCCGTAGTTGATTCAGTACTAAATGCAGACAGCTGTTCATCTACCCTTACTTTGCAATCCTATAAAAACTAGTCAAACGACGATCAGACTTCTCTATATAAACTATGCAATTTATTAGTACTCAACAAATCTGCTCCTCTCACACACACGTACACACTCATACAAATATATACCTGAGTAACGAATTTCTCAATACACAAACACTCTCACACTCACACATGCACACTCACATCCTGTAAACAGTCTGCATTCAGTAGACAGCTACGGATCCTTATAACAAACTATGAATACACGCAATTCTGCAGAAATTACATAATAATAGAAATACAAAAAAAAAAAAAAAAAAAGAGAAAATATAGTAATATTCATATACATAGGGTGTTTGAAGTCTACAGTTTTCGATTTTGTTAAAGCCGAACCAAAGCAGAAAACGAAAAGTTTTCATTTTCTGCTTTTTCATTCAAATATTTTTGCTCTTAACCAATTTAGGATAAAGCTGAGATGTTTTTTGCTTTTTTGACTGTTTTATAAATATTTAACATAAGTTTTGTTTACGTCATTTCAATACGCTTTAAAGTCTCTCTATAACTAACGACTGTTTATATAATTATTAATGATATAATTTTAAGTTAATAAAAAAAAAAAAAAAAAAAAAAATTGATATCGATTTCATATATATCTATATATATATATCAGCCATGTGCAACGTCAATCTGTGGGTGTGTGGCATGTGGCAACTGTGCTGCTGCTGCTGCTGCGGCACGCTTAACGTCGCCTTTGCCGCTTTCGCCGCTTGAGGAACACATATGATGAATTCATCTCCTGATGCCGCGCCTCTGCCGCCGATGTGGGCAGCTTTTTGCTGGCCAATGTTGCCACAGGCATAGCCTCCGCTCTGAGCCGGGCAATCGCCGTCTCGCCGTGCACCGCTTCGAGCCAGGGCAGCGTAAAGTTCGGTTCGCTCTCGCTCGGCTCTGCCTGTAGATTGACAACATTCTCGCCGAATGCCTGAACGGGCACCTCGGTTACATAGGATACGGCCTCAATGTCCTCGGGCAGCGGATAGAATGTTGATATGGGCAGGGGCTCAAGCGGCACCAGCACCTCATCCTGATTATGACGCACACGCAACGCCTCGCTGCGCATCTGTTCGCGTATGTAGCGTGCATCGCGCTTCTTACGCTCAATCTCATCGCGCACGTACTTTTCGTGGCGACGCACAAAGTCGTTATCACTCAATGGCTCCGTGTCCTTGTCATCCGTACAGGGATGTTTGCGGATCACCTTCCACTTGGGTATCTCGAGACTGGGATTGTCGGCAAGCAGCTCATCGGCTTCCTCCAAAAAGAATTCATTGTCACAGTGAAATTCTTGGTCCTCCCACGAACGTGTCGTATATGGCTCCAACGATGTTAGAAATCTGGAATTGCTACGCGGTTTGTTAATAATTGTGCTCTTGTTGTTGTTGGTGTTGGCGTTGCTACTATTGCTGCCACTGCTAACGCTACTAATAGACTGCGGCGTTAAAGGCGTTTGTATAGATGTTGTTGCTGGTGCTGGCGCAGTTGCTACTGCTGCTGTTCGCTTGTTAATGCTGCTACTGCTACTCGCCAAAGTCAAACTGGGCGACGTTGCGTTTGTCGGCGATGGCGCTGGCGTAATTGTGGCGCTTGTCTGCGCTATGGGTGGATAGATTAAGCTGGTGTTCTGCATCTGAGATTTCTTGAGACGCACAAGCGGCAACGGCTGCTGCTGGCTCTGCAATCTCTGTTGCTGTTTCTGCAGATGCTCCTGCAGCTTACGTTTCGTCTCTTCCTCAATATTGGGGTCTTCCTTTTCCTCCTGCTGCTGTTGCTGTTTGGACTGTTTTAGCTCCTTGCTGTCACGTGGCGTCTTACTACGTTCCTGTTCGATCGGCTTCTTCTCTTTTTCAAACTGTGGTTCTATAAGGCTATCATTTAGCTTTTTCTTTAGCTTCTCACGCTCCAATCGTAGTTTTTGCTCACGCTCCAGCTTTTCCTTTTGCTCACGCTCCAGCTTTTCCTTTTGCTCACGCTCCAGTTTCTCCTTTTGCTCACGCTCCAGTTTCTCCTTTCGCTCACGCTCCAGTTTCTCCTTTTGCTCGGCCTCTTGTTTTTGCTTTTGTAACAGAGCTGGATCTTTCGGCTGTATCCGTTTCATATTCAGCTGATTCATCCACGCCTCTTCATCTTCCTGCGTAAACGTATCTAAAATTGCCTCCTGGTGCTTTGCTGCTGTATGCGGTGTATGCGCTGTCCCCGTGGCCTGATTATTTTTCAACTTATCTGCACTACAATCCTTACTTGCTGCTTTCGCTTGCGACTCGGTTGCCTGATGGTTCGCCTCCAGCTGATGTTGTTGCTTCTTCTGTTTCAGTTGCTTCGGCTGCTTCTGATCATCCTGGTTCGCCTCAGGCTGATGCTGTTGCTGCTTCTGCTTCAGTTGCTTCGGCAGCTTATGATCCTTGCCTTCGCGTGCCGTTTTACGTTCATTTTCCATGGACTGTTTATCCGATTTGGGCTCCGAGTATGACTCGTCAAGGCTTTCCAATAGCTTTTTCTTTATCACCTCAAGCTCCCTTGTTAATTTTAGCTCTCCCTCCAGCTTTTGCGTATGCTTTTGATCGTGCTGTTGTTTTTGCTTTTTTCTTTGCTGTCCCATGTTCTCCGGATCTTGCTCTAGTATGGCATCGGACATTCCTTCGTTTTCACTTGCAGTTGATTGTGTTGTTGTTTTTGCTGTTGTATTCGATCCCTTCACTGGCAGGTTTTTAAATTTAACAATACGCTCCTTCTTTGTGGTTTCCACATGCGACTTGGTTATCCGATGGTTGGTCACAGTTTTAAGCGTTGCCGAATGCAGCCTTACTTTTTGTGACATTACGGAAATTGTTTTTTCTTCAATCTCCTCTTTAACATAAGAATTGTGGGTGGCCTCTTCCTTCTTCTCGCACTTCTCCTCCTTCTCTTGCTGATCCTGCTGCTCCTCCATCTGCTCTCGCTCTTGCTCCGTCTCTGCCTTTACCTCTTCCGCTTTCTCTTCTACCAACTGCTCTTCTACTTCCTTCTCATTCTTCTCAACTTTTAATTGCGACTTTGTGGTCTTAGTTACTGCCACAGGCAATGTTGGTTCATCACATTTTTTCGATTGGAAACATTTGTTAACAATATCCTCTGAACAATTTAAATATTTCAACTCATTTTTAATGATGTTTGAGACTTTCTTGTGTGGCTTCAAGTGCGCGGTATCTTGCAACTGAAAATAAAAATATATAAAAATGAAACTCTCTTGTGAATATAGCAAACGCTTACCTGTCGGAGCAAGTCCTCTTGCAGTTCTTGCTGCGAGACATCCATGCCCATGTCTATGTCGCCATTGTTAACTATTTCGGAGCCCATCTCAATCACTTCCTCGTAGATGTGGCCATTGTAATTGTTATCATCGACTGTCTCCTCTTCGGCGCCCAGCTCTTCTTCAGCTCCGATAATAGTTTCGTTACCGATTTCCATGTCATTTGCTTCGGGCGTTTCATTACCCACGCGTTCCTGTTCCTCGTCAATCTCCATTTCCATTTCCTCCTCTTCAACCTGCTCCTCTTCCACCTGCTCTTCTTCCACCTGCTCTTCTTCCACCTGCTCTTCTTCTTCCTCCTCTTCATGTTGTTCCTGCAGCTCATGTTCTTCGTGCTGATCATGATGTTCATGCTCTTCAAGTTCTTCGTGCTGTTCATGATGTGCGTGCTCCATATGTGCCTCGTGCTCCTCATGCTCTAGCTGCTCTTCCTCTACAATTTCCAACTGACTATGAAAGTCGTCCATCTGAATTTGCTCCTCTTCTGGCTGTCTTTCCTCTTCCTGTTGCTGTTCTTCCTCTTCATGCTGTTGTTCCTCCTCCTCCTGATGCACACGATGCAAAAAGAAGGTTCTGACCTTCTTGCCGCCATTGAACTCATTGCGAGACTTATTATTCTCAACAACCGGTGTTCTTGGCGGCAAATCCGTAACAGATGTAACCAAAACATTTTGCGTTTGTTTCGAATGTGTCGCATGCGTCGAATAGCCTTGGAGCAGCGCTTCCTGCTGAAGCAATTCTATTGTCTGTGTCTGTTTGTCGGCGCAACATTGATATTTGGCCTTGGGCTGCTCATCAATATCGTTTGCCGAACGCTTGATATGCCTGCGAAACTCCTTGCGAAGATCCTCAATAGTTTGGCTGAGTTTGGCTATCTGCTGCATTAGTTCCTGGTTTTGAGAAAGTAGGGTCTTGATGCGTCCATTTTGATCCTCCAACTTCTTGTCTTTCTCCATTAAACTTTCGTTTTGAGTATGCATCAAATCCAAATGGAGCACAATCATTTTTTTCAGCGTGTTGTTCTCCACTATCAATGTGACAACATCTGAACCGCTGCTGCTGCTCCCGGATTCCGGCAAAGGGACTTGAGACAAGCCAACGCCGTCGACTCCTCTGGCATGTTGTGGTAGCTGTTGTTGCTGCTGCTGCTGCTGCTGCTGTTGCTGGGGTGGCGGTGGCTTGTAATAAATGTTGCCACCACCAGGGCCAATGGCAGGATGTTTGTTGTAGCCGTAGTTATTGTGATTGGGTCGCTTGTAATTCTTGTAGGGTACCTGATAGGCAGATCTTGGTATATGCGGGGGACCACCGTAATTGGGTGGCTCCATGTAGCCACCTCTTTGTTGTTGCCATTTGAAACGGTTATCCATTGCACAGTCACAAATGGCACACGCACAATCGTTTCTTATTCCTGTTTTCTGTTCACAAAATGTTGTTCATAATTTTATCGTGTTTTGTTTTCGGCTTGCAGCTATTCACCACGGCACGCCAACTTTTGACAGCCGCAGCTGATGGACGAACACAGCAAAATGCGTAAAACGGAAATATTCACCACTCTAAATTATTTTCCTGCTATCGCTTTTTCCCAGAAAAATGCGCGTTTGCAATGTTTTAGCGTGTTAATCACACTGACGCTATGACATTTGGTAATAACATTTAGTTTATTTGCCAAATGACAACTTTTCAAATACTTCTTTTAGTTCTTTTTTCTGCTTTTTTGATTTTATGCGGATAATGTAAACTCGCCCGAAAAAAGCATTTTAGAAGTATGGCGTTACTAGTGCTGCCAGGCTGTACGAATGCAGGGTTGCTAAACTCTGCCACGCTGCCAACTGCTAATTTTCACCACTTCTATTTTGTTGTCTGCTCTGTTTTTGCATGTTAAAATTCATAAATTAATTTATTGTTACAATATATTACTGCATATTGTAATGTTTCCATGCTAAACCCACATAAATTATATAACAAAGACCCATATCTCAGGACACGAGTTGGCATGTTTGTGAGACGTGTTTAGTTTTAATGTGAATGTCAACGGCAAGAAGCAGAAAAATGGCGCTAAACTAGCTTCTTGATTTGCAGCAGCCGAGTGGTAGATTTGTAGACTTTAATGCATCTCAATGGCATCCATATTTGGTGAGGATGGGGTTGACGACCTGTTCAATGACAATATTGGCATCGAAAACGATCAGTTACCAAGTGATGGCGAGCCAGATGAAGGCGAAAAACTGTTTGGCGACGATGATGAAGATGCAGCAAATGAAGCTGGCGAAGGAGAACAAAAAGCCGTTAAGGTGGAACCCAAGAAACGCGCTGTACGGAATCCACGTCCACGATTGACAGTGGATACGCTACGTGGCCCACGTGGCCTGCACACGATAGAAAACTATTTCAAAGACATAAAATTTAAAGGCAAGGGCTACGAGAAAGATGATTTGAATGAGGTCCTGCGGCGCCTGCAACATTGGGGTCATCGGATGTATCCGAATTACACTTTCGACGATATATTAAACAATATCGAACGTCTGGGCAAGAAGAAGCCATTGCAGGTGCATATGACACGCTATCGATTGGGTCAGCTGGAGGAGTTAGCTGAACAGAATATTGAACTGCAGAACGATGCTAATGATCAGGAGAATGATGATTATGGCGAGCCATTTGATGAATTTGATGCCTTGCTGGGCGAACAAATCGCCATGTCCAAATTAGCACCTCGGACACCGGCAATCAATCGCAATCTATCCACTACGAGCAGCACACTGGTGACACCTTCATTCTCACGTAATGCTATCGTATCCACGCCATATACAGGAGCTGGTCCTACGATAGCTACTGATGATAGCATCCATGATTATGGTCAACCGCTGCCGTTATCTCAACCAGCAACCCCTGCAACAAAAAGAGCACAGCTGTCCGCCGAGCAAATGGCGCGCATTGCAGAAAATCGTCGAATGGCACAGGAAAAATTGCGAGCCAAGCAAGCGGAGGCCAATGCCGACAAATAGCTTAATTTAAGTAGAATTATTTTTGTTGTATTGTTAGGTGAGCATACGTAAAGAAATAAATTAAGATTCCAGTACAAATATGCAGTAGTCGTTTCCTATATACATATGTTTATAGATTCCCCAGAATATTACTATACCAGTGTATATACACATATGTACATATATAAACAACAATTTTGCATAGAATTAATACAAAGAATTGATTTATAATTTTATTTATTTTCTTTCCTTAAGCAAACTAATAAGATATAAATTAATATTCGTAAATAAAGATTTTCCAGTCGTTTCCTATATTAATGTAAATATACACACATTATGAACACACGTTCAGGTGCTAAAGTCGAACTAATGAGAAATACTATTGAATTCGATAAACTACAAACAAATTCCTAGCTGGGATGCATTGCATAATCAAGGTACAAGCGTGATTAGCGTGTGAATGTGAATATTTCGCTATGTACTGAGTCGGTTTGGATTTGCTTTTTAGGTTGTGAAGCGCAGGGCTACGCGTGGCAGCATTTCGAATAGACCCTTGGCGCCCTTAAGCACGACAGCGATAATATTCATGGTGAGCAGATCAGTATTAGGCACAGATTGCTCATCTGTATCCTTTGGATCGGAGCTCTGTTTGATGGCCTCGCTTATGACGTGAAGAAGGCGCTGATAGAGAAACGATTGGCGATAGATCGGCTTGGACAAGCTAAGATGATCATCTTTGAGCAAAAAGAATTCACCGAAATCAATACGTGACGATTCCTCCGTGACAATGCGCAACGGGAACTTAAATGTGGTCAACATTGTGGGCGATCCTTCGGCCACACTAAGGACATTCACGTGACGCAGAACGGTGTGCAGACAACCCATGAACCGACGATGCATCTCCAGCAATTTTGGTGCATTCTCTTCCATTTCCTTAACCTCAATTGATGGCGACAAAATCACTTGCATATGCTGTTTCCATTTAGCAATAGGTGAGCCGCGATGCGGAGTACCCAGAAATACAATTGCTTGCGTATTCTTGGCTAGCTGTTGCACATTCTTTTCCACAGAATCCACAGATTTTAGCAATATTAGCTTAGTAAGCAGTCCTCCCATGGAATGGCCTATCCAGACCACAGGCCGTCCATTGCCCACATCGGCGGTGGCAATGCGTTCCAACAGCGAGCTGGCCCGAACATCAATATGACCCTGGCCCTTCTCACACGGACAATACTTGGTAAAGTTGGCCGACCATTCGGTCACTGCGGACGTATAGTCAATGCCAATGATTCTACAATGGAGATTTATATGTGAAAATCATAATTAATACCCAGCTGAATATGCTTACCTTGAATCGGGATAATCATCTGGCAGCCATTCCATGGGCCAACAATTTGTATACTCTTCGCTACTATCCTGATTAGTCCATTCATTGCCTGAGACACTAAAATTGCCACGACAATTCTCGTTAGCTTCCAGTGGTACATCCGGATGCACCACTTCCCAGTCCGAATCCAGCTCAGCTTCACTGCATAGAGTTTCCATAAACTCTTTGGTAGCCGTATCGCTGATGTTTAAATGTGTATCCTCAACCTTCTTTTTGCTCGCCTTAAGCAGAGCCTCTGCGGGTACAAAGAAATTTCAATATTTATCGGAATAAAAATGCGAGTTTCTTTTCAAATACCTTTCGTTTTAAGATTGTGCTTATTTGGATCGGGCTGTATTTGTGCCGGTATTAAAGGTCTGCCCTGCTGTTTGTTGTACTGTGATCTACTTCCATTCCTCTTCTGTTCGCCCACAAGAAATACATCATCTGTTTCGCTGGTGTAAAAGGCGTTCTTCCCATAGAGCCCTAATTCGGTGGGCTTACGATCGCGTTGACGCCACGTAATGAAAACGCCACCTAATAATCCATGAATGAATACAATATCCGCCTTGGGCTTGCGTCGTGTGCGCACGCGCGGATGCAATGGATATACATTGGGCGGGTATGTGAACTGATTGGGATCATCGTGATCCAGATTGGCCATTGTCTTGGCCGATATGACCTGTAGACGCAAATCGGGGCACTGTTGCCACTCAGCCAACGCACCCACCCAGCCAGACACAAAGAAATGTTCCACTGCGTCTTCAACTAGGGATAAATTAGCTAGAACTTTGCACAGTGTAGAAAGCGTTTCATTGTCATCGGCGAAAATCTTGCGCAGTTCCATTAAATGCATTAGGCCGCCCTCGTGTATAATCTTTGCCGCAACTTTGGTATCCTTTGTGATGTGATGCAAAAATGAGATGATTTCCTTCATCAAATCTGTGTCCAACACGGAAAGTGAAATGATTTGGTCCTGTGTTAAAAATTCACTGTCATCGTTCTAAGGGGAGAGCGTAAGAAATCGTAGTTTTTTGGTTAATCCTATGACTTAGCCATGTACTCACCACATGAGCCTGATTGGGAAAGTATTTACTGAAGAAGTGATCCACACAGGACATGGGACGCAACCGATCGAGCATACTGTGCAGGTCACTGAGCAACAATTTGGGATTACGGATGCAGCCACGCCTCGGCAGTGGCATAAACCAACGCATATCGGCGCCGCAACGGGCCAGAGAGACAGATGTACGTGCATCACAGATCTGTGCCAAGTGCCGGAAATCCCAATCCTTCAGGTGATCCATACAGATTAGCTGTTGCACGGCCTTCAAGCGCTCTGCCTGGCTGCCGTTTTGAGCAATGTTCAGCAGACGCCATGCAACCGAATGCTTCGCTGCCTTCCACCATTTGCCAATGGGATTGATGATCACGCTTATCCACTTCTTCTCGTCCTCCTGTTTCTGTTGCAACTTGCGCATGGATTCCCGATAAATATGATACTTAATGTAAATATATTCAGTGCGACGCTTGTCTGGCTCTTGTTGCTTCTTTTCCACATATTGCGATAAATATTTACGGATTTGAGGTGACTCGTATAGAATGATGCCGGCACTAAAATAAAAAGTATAAGAATTTTTGTAAATTGATATATTTAGCATGTTGTTGTTGTCGCTCTTGTTATTGTTGTTTACTCGTTATCGTTGACTTGTTTTCTTTCTATTTAACCCAAATATCAACAAGCCAGAAAGTGCTGCCAATAAAACGTTGTTGACAAAAACGTGCCACAAACAAAAACAACTTTTAGTTTTATAAAAGAGGGCGTGTCACCAATACCAAGACAGAAATGGCGCCACACGCGCTAGATTAAATTTTTAGGTATAAACAATCAAAAGTGAGGCCAATTTTTAAAAAAATCTAGCAGCTATATTAGCCGAATTTTTATCTAATTGAAATGTTTATTTTTGACTATACATTTAATTATAGTATACATATTATATGTAACTTTCAATTGTAGTAGATATTTCACAAAATTTTTAATCGCATTTCTTGAATATTTTCAAATGTACTGCCAATGTTATCAGCTAAATGACTCATATTCCTGACAAAAATTAAGCCAAATGTAGCTTGACATTAGCTAGATAACCAGCACTGAAAAATATCAAACACAAATCGTTGGGGGCCGTTTTTCGCAAAAACTAATGCGCACTATTTCGGCGCTTAGCACGTTTTGTTGTTTATACGCTTACGGGTCGGTGTGTTGATGTGATCACTGATCAGGAGAGGGCCTTGCCCAGCTGTTACGCACAAGAAGCAGTAAAGCAGAGAAAGACGATGAAAGCAACAACAAAATTAACTCTATCATGCTATCTCATTTTGGCAAAATCGTACGTTTGTTTTGATCGTGTTTTGTGTTAGCATCAACAACAACATTGGTCGTTGGCTGTTGCTCAAAATGTGCAGAGTGAATAATATGTTTGTTGTTGTTGTTATTGTCCCTTACAATTGCTGTAAACAAATGATGTCAGAACTGCTATCGCCAGATTTTATGGCAACAAATGCGGAAACACGCAATTTTCTTCTATTTTGTTTTTTGAGTGCAGTTGCACTTAGATATATTTACATAGTTAAAAATACATGGGAATCGCTTTTGTTCAGGGCCAAGTGGCGCCACATTCGGCAAATGTGTGCCAAGACCTTTATATTTCAGCTTGAATTTAAAATGACGAGCCCCCACATTTAGATGGCATGGTTATTCATTCGTTTTAATTATAAAGTAGTTGCGATTAGGACCAGCTGTTGCTGTTGCAGTTGCACTTGCTTTCACTTACGTGGTCAATATGCCAAAACCCCCAAGTAGCTTTGGAAAACGGCGTAATGTTGCTTTAATATCCTCTAATGACATTGCCTGCTGTATTTCGATTGTGTTTGTGTAGCCTGGCGAACTCACTAGTAAAATTTGTCAAGTAGCTGCCAAAAGTTTACTATGTTATTTTTTTTTTTTTTTTTTTTTTTACTTCTCACAATCACAATTTAAATTTAGATTGTTGCCTCAGACTTCGAACTTATCACTTTTTCACTTTTACTCAAATTGTATTGTTGTTTTTTTATTTCTTTTTCTAAGTTTTGTATTAATTAATAAGTGTATTAATTAATAAGCGACCCCTTTGGGGTCTAGAGTTTTCCTTTCTTGAACTTTTGTGTTGTGCTTCAAATTGTTGAATGACTGTTTTGTTTTGTTTCGTCTCTTTTATCACTTTTCGTACGCGCACGGGCTGCCACACTGTTTTATAAAACACACAGTGCTGCCACGTCGTTAGCTATAATTATCTCTCAACAAGAATGTTAAATTTCATACTTAATTAATAAAATTATGTTAGGTTAGTGCATATTCCTTGATTGAAAATACGGCTTTAAATAATGTGTTTATAAAAATAAAATATTTTTTGGCGTCACACCCGCTTTATTAAAATATATTTTCAAACTCGCGCTCCCTGTTAATAACATTTCGGCATATGTTAACGGCCTTCTCTCCGTTGTGTGCTCTCCAATTAGAAAAACTGGTTGCTTTGTAAAAAAACTGTGGAGCGTGAGTATGTTGCCAACGCTCCGCAAGTGTGCACGCACTGGTCTCGTATTTTGTGTAAGCAGAAACGGTGTTGAATTAATGTACAATAATGAAAATACACTTTCGCGAACAATATGGCACCAAAGGCGAGGAAATACTGTATGTGACGCCAGCAGGTGAGTTGATAATACCATAATCATATCTGTAGACAATTATGCAAGCCTCATTATCCGCAGATCAAAGAAATATTGTGCGAGTGCCTCTACGCGGCGATAAGCTGGTCATTCAAGAGAAGTTCTTGTTATTTCGTGTGCTTCAAAATATCTTTCTGCCCAAGGGCTATCCGGACTCTGTGTCCGATGATTATGCGGCGTATCAAATCTGGGATACAGTGCAAGCATTTTGCAGCACCATTTGCGGCACACTCTGCACACACGCCATTCTCAAAGGAATCGGAGTGGGCAGCGAGAATGTGAATGCGTATTCGGCGACGGTCACCTGGATACTAAAGGAGGGCAGCGGGCATATGGGACGCATTATATTTGCCTGGTGGCAAGGTAGTCAACTGGATGTGGACTCTAAGAAATGGCGACTGCGAGCGGATTTTCTCAACGATCTGGCAATGGGCATTGAGATCTATGTGCTTCCAAAATATCCGCATTTCAGCACGCAAATTCTTTGCGGCTCCACTCTGCTAAAGGCTATAGTAGGCGTGGCGGGCGGTGCGACGCGTGCTGCATTGACGCAGCATCATGCGGTGCGCGGCAATTTGGCGGATGTCGCCTCCAAGGATAGCTCCCAAGAGACATGCGTCAATCTGATTGCCTCCTTTATGGGCCTCTATCTGCTGACTATGATCAAGAGCCAAGCGATGCTTTATACAGTTTTCTATATTGTGGTCACGCTGCATCTGTATGCGAATCTAAAGGCTGTGCGCGCGGTTTGCTTGCGCACCTTTAACGAATCGCGTTATCTAATTACATTAGAGGAGTTCTTTAGGTCGTCACAGATGCTGACACCACAGCAGGTGGCCTTTATTTTTCATATACAATATATATATCTCTAACTACTGTCTCTCTTTTAGGTCAACAAATTGGAACGCGTTACTCTCGGCCAAATGGTCTCCGTATCACTGAAAATTCGACTCGGCTTGAGCGTAAAACATCTCATAGATGAGTACAAGAGCAGCGATGTCATCGAGGATATTGTGTCTTCGTTCGATCCCCATGAACATTTCATTATAGCGGAGAGCAAGAAGTTTTTGGGCGTCTATTTGCATTTCGATACACGACCACAGGATGTCCTGAAGGCATATTTCTTTGGTGTCTCCTATCTGCAGGATCGGAAACATATTAAGGAAAAATATTGGGATATCCAAGGCAAATGGCAAGAGTTCTTGAGTCTAGCGCAAAAAGAGGGTAAGATAATCGGATCTGTTTCGATCCGGTTTTGTAAGCCTTAGTAATTAATGCTAAACAAAAATATTTATTATTATCCTTTAGGTTGGATAATTAATCAGCATTTATTGTTGGTTGATGAATATCGTTTGGACTGGAAGGCTTAAACGATGAGCTAAGCTTACTAACTGGACCAGAGAAGATAAAATGCTAAGATCGCCGCTTGCTATAAATGACATTACTTAGTTATTATTTTGTAGGCTTGGAGCATTCAAACAACACAGACACTCACTCACACTCATTCTCACATATCTCACATGGTTAATAACCATAAGGCAAACGTTGATATTAACAAAAATTATTGCAATTATACATATTTACACATTCTAGATTCTAGACACAAGAGAACACTCATGCGCATCTATCTCAACTATACTTAATAACTGAAAGGTAAAGAATCATTCGAATATAACGTGAACATCTTCCAACTAATGTAACTCTGCCTTAGCACAAAGTAACGTTTGTAAACGATATTCAATATTATACTCAAAGAGTCCTTATCTGGACCTTCTCTATTTGTATCTAGGCCATCTAAAGAAAAGACACTCTCAAGAATTTTAGAATCAAATGATGGGCTGGAATATTTAATGAATATGTCTATTTTTTAATAACTTACCACTTGTATATTTCGAGGAGGTACTTTTTACCACAAATTGAAAGCAAAACTAAGAAATGATGAAAAAAAGAAAACTGCGCAACTATCGATCCACTTAAATTGCAAGTCATAAAATGTGTACAAAGTTCATTAACTGAAATTAATTGATTAAGCACTCTCAATTAGTACATTTGATACAAGAAACGTGTAATATTATTTATAAGCTTCGTATATTTATATAATGATAATAATAATTGATGTATGAATTTTATATTTTGCAATATACTCAGTCCATTAGCTTAGCACTTAAAAATTAGCTTCAAAAATGCTTTTTATATTATGCGAGTCAAAGGTAGTTAAAAAACGCAATTGATTTTAATAGAAGAATAAATAAAGTTCTTCGCAATTTTATGCAAAGATAATCGAAAAAGATCTAATTTTTTACTAGTTGAACTTTTAAATTTTGGATTACAAACATATCGGATAACCATACAACACATATTTAAGCCAACATTTTGCAACAAGTTTGAGCGTTTTGTCCCACTGTTAAAAGACGTTTTAGATTATTCAAACAGCAGTTTCGTTGCTTTTAATGTTAACTAACAGCTCTGTTGCGACATCAACGTTTCACAGAGTGGCTCTGTTATGGGATTTGAAGTTTGGCGGGAACTTAAGCAGAGATCCTTAATCGAGGTGGGCACGGGCCGGGTTTTTATCGGGTACCCGTGGGCACCCGTGGTTACCCGTGGGTATGGGCTGAAAAATCGAGTTTCGGGTTGGGTGCGGGCGGGTGCGGGTTACGCTGCTCAACCCGTTTTACCCGAAAAAATCATATTTTGGAGACCGTCAAAAGCATGATGGTTGAAATTTATGATATGCAAAATGATTCAATTGAGAACTCTCCGACAAATTTGAATCTTGAATTTATAGAGTTTTTGGACAAAAATCAAATATTGATATGCTCCTTTTTTTTTTTATATAAAAACATGTAATATTTCTGTAAATAATATTGTAATTTTTAAGAATTAAATTGTTGTTATGTTTGAGAACAAAAAATTGGTTGTAATTTTTGAGAATTAAGAATAATTTGAAAATTTGTTTTGCTTTCGGGTACGGATAAAATTTTGAACTTTTGACCGTGGGCGGATCGGGCATGGTGCAAAAAAGTCGGCCCGTGCCCACCTAATCTAATCCCAATCTAATCCTTAACATGCTCCTAAATAATCAAAATGAAATATTTCGTTGCAAACTCCAATAGTAAGTCTATAAAAATGATCAAGCATTTGAAATTAAAATCTATGTAGACTGAATGGTTAGTAGACATTTACTGAATATTTAGCACACGCTCCTCAGAAAGAGGAAATCCAGAAGAAGGGGTAATCTGCCTGAATCTAAAAAAGCTGGAAAAAACAAAAACTTGCCTCCCTCACCCTCTGAATATAATATCCACAAAACTATAATACTCTTAACACATTTTTTCCATAGACTGTGAGAATACCCGTACAGAATTTTCATACAAGCGTATACAGATAAACACATACTGGCCTATGCATAAATACATACATATAAATATAATTGATAGCAAATAGAACATTGCAAAAGATAACAAATTATAAAATACACTTTTCTATAAATGGAAAATCGCTTTACCGAAAAGGTCGTAGCAGACCCCATAAAGTATATATATATTTTTGATCAGGGTGACGAGCTAATCTGGCTGCGTCTAGAGCACCTACTACATACATACATACTACATTTCATACTAATTATTCTGACAGATCTTGGCTGATAAGATAAGATAAGACAGCATTTCATTATCGATACAATAAAAGTGAAGAAAGCAATCAGTAGACAAGTAATATTATGCAATAGGCGCTGCCCGAGTCCAGTCAGTAGATCCACAGAGAAATGACCTTGGAAGTGCATGGGCAATATGACAATAAATCGAGCGATGCACCCGACCTGAAACGCACCGCAATGCGATGACAATTAATAAGCAATCGAGGAGCCAAAGCAATTGGCAATCAAATGTTTTTTTTTTTTAAAGCAAACATTTGTATTGCCAAACTATAATTATTATAACTGTTCGCCGTGTGGACAGATATAGCAATAAACAAAGCCACCGAATTGGTCAGAGTGTTGGAATTCCTAATGTAGTACTTGTCGCACTTCTCAGGTCTGTTTTGACTATTCGCCATTTAATACACGAATTTGTATGCCGAGCAAGAACCTTTAATCGGCGAGTTTATATTATAAACACACGAATCACATAGCAGATCGATGTCAGTCGTGGTGCGACGTCAATGTACACAGTCCGTTGTTGGGTCGAGCGCTGCTAGGCACGGGAATTTAATTGAAACTCATCCAGAATGTTTATCAGCCTATCGACGTTTCTTATCAGCGTGGGGGTATACGCACTCGCCGCTTATCTGTACGAGCAACTGAGGACGCCTTATCGCTTGCTGAAGTTGCGCCTGCTTGGCGATGCGAGGCACAGGTTGAGCATCAAGGAGCGCTTCGGCAGCTGGGCGGCGATCACGGGCAGCAGCGATGGCATTGGCAAGGCTTATGCCATGGAGCTGGCAAGGAGTGACATCAATGTGGTGCTGATAGCCAGGAACGAGGAGAAACTGAAGGCAGTGGCTAAGGAAATAAGTGCGTGGCGAGGGAATGGAATGTATGTGGCATGGAATTAATATATAAATAATATTTTTCAGCTACGGAGTGCAATGTGCAGGTGAAGATTGTCATCGCTGATTTCACACAAGGCTTAGCCGTCTATGATCATATTGAGCAGGAGCTAAAGGATCTGCCCGTAACCATACTAAGTAGCTATAATCATGCATTAATCTTGATCTCAGCTCATCCTCCTCTCGCCTAGTTAACAACGTGGGCATTGGCTTCCCTGGTGGCATCGCCCGCGTGAGCAAGGATGAAGCCCAGCAGCTGATCGATACAAATGTGGTAGCAGCAGCGCAGCTGTCGCGCTATTTCCTCCAACGCCTGCGCTCCGAGACGAAGAAGGGCGCCATTGTCAATGTCAGCTCCGGCACGGAACTGCAGCCGATGCCCTATGCGGCCCTCTATGCGGCCTCGAAGGCATTCATGCGCAGCTTTACGCTGGCGCTGCAGTGGGAGGCCGCGCCCCTTGGCATCCATGTGCAGTTGTTGTCGCCCAACTTTGTGGTCACCAAGATCAACAGCTACTCGAAACGCATCATGAGCGGCGGCCTCTTCATACCCACGGCGGAGCAGTATGCACGCAGTGCTGTGGCCCAGTTGCGGGATGGTGTGGACGAAACACCTGGCTATTTCTGGCATCATGTGCAGAATGCCGCCATGACGGTCTTCCCATGGAGATTGCGCTTAAATTTGTCTCAGATATTCTTCAAAACACTTGCTGATAAGAAGAAATAAAAGCATTGCATACTTCTGGGCTGTGCAAGAAATTAATATGATTTGTGTCTTAGCTAGCTGTCTTGGCTATGACATACAAAGCTGTTCACAAGCTAAAAAGCTCTATGAACAGTTGTTTTTTGTTCTCACTGTCAAAATCAATAAATGTTCTTGTCTGCGCATTTTATGGCGAATTATTTTTAGTATTTCCACGCAAGCAGACACGGGAATAAGTTTTTCGGACTGCGCAGGTAATTCATTGAAGCTGCTTATAGTTTTCTGTATGTATAAAATCGATTTGTTGTTTACAAATATGTATTTATAAATAGTTTTTCTAAACACACAAAGATGCGCCCAAACACTTTTTGCTATATTTATTTCCTTATTTGTTTCCTCAACATTTTTTTCCTTTATTTTCCATAAAGTCATTCACTACGTTTTTCAATCAATAAATGTTTTCACTCACTCTAGCCAAGTGCTATCAAAATACTTTTCAATTATTATGTTTATTTAGCATTTGGCATTTAATGTCTGCTTTGTTTGCTTATTTTGTATGGAAAAAGTTTGAAATGCGTCAGCTTATAGATGGCGACTATGATTTGATATCAAAGGGATGCAATTTTCAATAGAATAGTCAGTTATCAAAAATTGAGTTTTTAAACAATATATTTTTATTTTCTTTTTTTTTTCTTTCTGAAAATCATCAAACATATTTTGGTTGGAAAATAGTTCTAAAGAAAGGGAAAAGTATTTTCAGATATAATTGAATTTTAATATATACATATATTCCTAATCTAAGTCCAATATTACTAGATCTTTTAAATACCCTAGGACAGAAATTATTGAACTTTTGTGTTTAAATATCTCCGAGTCCTAACGGAGTAGAAATATATCAATTTTTAACTTAGATCAATTTTTGACACTTTCTTTAATTTGCAAAGAACTTTTAAAAATATGTGTTTCCTTTTATAAGCTATGAAAGCTGCAATAGGTCGACTCTGGCTTTATCTGACAAATCAACATGAATGCGACAAGAAATGGTTTTATTTTTGATTTTTATAAAAATTCACATGATTGTATAATAAAATGAAAAGAAATATAAATTAACAGATATTCAGTTATTTTGCCTCAGTCACGGCTTTATTATATTATTTACTTACATCGTTTATCATGTCAGAGCACTTTGACAACGTAAATTTGTTATCATTAGCAGAGGTCCCCAGCTCAGCTAGTGTCGTGTAGAAAACAATTTATGCATCTTACACTTAATTGATAGCAATTAGTTGTTGACTGCTACAAGAGTACTACTAAGAGTATACATAGTCCGATTCGGAGTCCAAGTGTGAGTAGCCCAATTATCCCCGAAATGTGAACCAATTTAACAATCACACTTTTGCCTGCAGCGTGGAGGCTGTCCAAAATCTCTACAATAGCTCGGCGATAATTAAACGTCTCATAATTTGCCAGATTTTGTAATCTTCGCACCGCCAGCAAAACATAAACTCTTTTTGTTTATGAAGTAATGAAGCTAAAAAGCCGAAAAAGAAGCCGAAAGAGCTGCAAGACGAGACAACATGGTTTTTGTATCTCCCTGTGTATCTGCAGTCTGTTGTTCGTGTTCATGACTTAGGAGACAATTGCAGCTTGTAAAGCCCGAATAAAACTATATATAAATATATATATATGTATGTGTGTGTATTGCTATACATATATATACGATTTGTTGTGGTCGTGAGCTCTGCGCGGCCTGCAGCTCGGGCTCAGTTTTGATTTCGGTTTCGGTTTCAGTTTCGGTTTCGGTTTTTAGTGCGTGATCGACGCTCCGACTCGCTACTTGTGGCCGCAGCTCAAGCCGTGCAGACTCTGGAAATACTGCTATAAACACAAAAATTAGTTTTAATTGAAATTCAATGAATTCCCAATTGAAAACTGTACGCGTTCATTTCTTATATACTATATGTGCCCAACATGCTGATTAGTGAACCGAACTGAACTTACATAAGCCTTGCCAGCTATCAGCTGTCGCTTATCAAATTTATTTGTATATACACATGTATTTGTGTGAATATCGTGTACACCACATAGACTTTATACTGAAGCAACTATATTCATTATGCAGCCGGCACTGGAACTAAGCATTTATACACTGCTACGCATGGCGTTCATTTGGCAGCTCATTTCCGTCGCCATTTACCTGGTGGGCACTTTGGCCATTGCCGCCTATCTCTACGACAACTTCAAGTCTTTGATCTGCATTATCAAGGCGCTGCTCGAGCCATACTTTCAGCCACAGTTGCCTCAAACATTGCTGGATAAATTTGGCAAATGGGCAGGTGAGTTTCGTTTACTAGTTGTCTCTGTTACACACACACTCTCTCTCTCTTTCTATTTTTGTCTATGTATGTGTTTGTTTCTGCCTGAATAAAGTTTAATAATCAAATATAAATAAATTATAGATATATTACTTTACCATTTAGGGAGGTAACAGATGAGCTTTTAACATTTCTGAAACTCCCCAAATATCCTTTCCCTCAAAATCCATTACTACCGCTCCCTAAAAGCATTTCCAATAATAATCATATAATTACGAAGATAATCAAGTATAATGCACATTACATATAATATGGACACTTACATAGAAATTTGCAATCTCACAAAATTATGTAAATTGCATGCCCGATGGCAGCTTCGTAGAATTTTTTCCGTGATCATCCATATATTATTACTACAAATTATTTCTTAGATCCATGCACTTAGCCAAGTTAGCATGAAACAACAATTACCTATCAAACCGTATTAGATAAGAGCTATATCTCGATTTCATTGATAAGGCTAGCATATCGAACAGCTGTTTTGGCGTTCACTTGCTTTATATTTGTTTACGGTATGTTTATAGAGCAAATCGAAGTCATTCAACTCGCACTGCGAAAGCGAAATCAAAACCGGATTTATTAAGATTGATTTTTATAATCATAATTTTGGACATGTCTGCAAATGCAAAATACAGATAATATACAATAATTTAATTTATGTATAAATAACATGATATAACATCTTGAGTATACCGAAGTACCGAAATAATTACTAAAAATTAAATTTAAAATTAAATTAAATGTTACTATATTCGAATCGTCTACTATTCCAATAAAAACAATTACATAATCTATATATTTATGAAGCTCAACAATTTTTTGACTAATATCAATTTTAAATTATATATAAAACTCTAATATTTTTTATTTATAAAATTTTGTTTAAAATATATCTAATACTATAAAATATTATTGAGAACAAAAAATATTTTCTTCAGTAAAATTTGATAGAAAACAATTTTTGATATTAAATGAAAAAATATAAGAAATTCCTACGCTGTTAGTACCTTGTTTCCATGTTGACAAAAACTTGAATCAAGCAGCATATATAAAATGATGAAAAATAGAAGAAAATAAATTAATCAAAATTATTACAGGAAATATAAAAGTTATATTATTTATCCTTGATAAAAATATATGACCAATGGTTTAGGCAAAGTAGCTTTATTCGCTTATTCACTTTCTAATTTGTACCCACGTTTGATAAATATTATTTTCTGAATATTCTCAAGTGTTTTTGACCTTGACTACAATGAGTTTTACTTGATAGTTTTTCCCCAATTTCAAGTATTGTTGGTGAATATTAGAAACATTTTCAAGAGCCTATTTGCTGCGCTATTCATTCACGTAGAGCCAACACACACGACCCGTTGCAGCTGCCATTCGCTGTCAATATTTCCGCTGCACAAATATTTGGCAACAAATGTGGCCAACAGCTAAAAAACAACATCACCAGCACCAGCACTCAGCACCAGCACCAGCAGCAGAGCAGTAACAACAACAACAACAACTTGTATTTTAACGGTGCCAGCAATTGCCGCCTGTTGGTCAGTTGCGCAGTCGCACAGCGGCAACAGTTGCATTGACTCATTGCAACAGCAACATCAACTGATCGCAAACATCAGCAACAAGCGAGCTTTATTTTTGTTGCTAGTTAGTATTTTTTTGTTGTATTTTGTGTTTATGCCAATTTTTGTTGTACTCATATTTGTATTTGTTTTGGGCTAGATAATGGCTACTAACAGGGTTGGCAAATATGCCCAAATAAATAAACTGATTATTTAGATAATTAGCAAGGGTGTGTGAGGCAGCTAACTGTAGTCTATTACCTGAATGTAACTGAATGTATTGCGTGTAAAACTGAAAGCTTTGTGGAAATGCAAATCTAACAATGTTTGCATACAAATCATATAATATGATGAAATTATTATTATTTAGCTTTAATGATTTATATTCCAAACATGAAGTCTTGTATAATAATTAAAACATTCATATATTCATAAAATTATATATTCATACATTTATAAATTCATACATTCATATATGTATTCATACATGAATGTCATCATACATTCATACGTTCATCATATATTTATGTTTTATATATTCACACATTCATAAATTCATACATTAATACATTATTTCATTCATCGATTCATGCATTCATACATTCATTAATTCATACATTCACACATTCATATATTCATACATCTTATATTCATAAATTCATACATTCTTACATGCATATATGCATATATGCCTACGTTCATCATATATTCATTCATACATCCATTCATTCATACATTGGTACATTCATAAAATCACTCATTCATACTGGTTTTATCTTCATTTTCTCTTGAAAAGAGAAAATGATTTTGAGAGAAATAAAACCGTGGACTAATTGCATAAGCCTCTTGAGTATTCTTCCATTCCGAGAATAATTAAAATACTTTCCTTTCTCTTTTTAGTGATAACCGGTGCTACAGACGGCATCGGTAAGGAATATGCCAAGGAATTGGCACGTCAAGGTCTCAATCTGGTGCTCATATCACGTACCAAGGAGAAGCTCATCGCGGTAACCAACGAGATTGGTGAGTAAACAAACGTATTCTGCATATAACTAAACTAAACTAAAGCCAACTCTGATGCTGACTCGTGAAACAACTTTTACAGAGAGCGAACACAAGGTGAAAACCAAATGGATTGCTGTTGATTTTGCCAAGGGACGTGAGGCCTACGAGCAAATCGAAAAGGAATTGGCGGGCATACCAATCGGTATACTAGGTAAGTGGAATGCACTGAGAGAAAAAGCAAATGCCTAGGTTGCAAAATTCAAATGAATAGCAAATTTATGATGAAGCTGAATGAATAGGACAAGTGCTGGATGGAACAAAGACTTATATGACGAGAGTTAAGATTGCTTTCAGAAGTTTTTCGTTTGCTTACTCATAAGGTTGAAGAGGTTTTATTTTATTTATGTATGTACATATGAGCAAAAGTTTCAGCGAAAATCCGTTTTAAAGGAAATCAGGAATCCGCAAAGTAAATATTTTTACCCAAAATAAAATATATATTAATCAGTATAATAATATATTACTTAAAAAATGTAATCTATTAGGTTTATGTTTCTGAAATTAAAAAAAAAAAAAAAAAAAAAAAAAAATCATTTTAGCGTGGAATTATTGCTCAATTATTGTCTTCTCTTCCTATAATTACTATATCTCTTTGATCATTAGGAAAATTAAACAAATTTCAGTTAATTTAAATATTTGCTCAAAGCCTAAACTCTAAATGAAGCACTTGAACAAGTTAAGCTCACTCAATGCACTTCAAATTTCAATCGAATTTCAGTCGCAAAACATCAACAACAACCTCTCTGAGGCAGCCGCCCAACTCTCGAGCGATATTGTAGCCAACTCATTGTTGGCTAACAGTAGCCGTTTGTAACCGCATGACGAGTGACAGCAACAATTAGTGTTTCGGGTTTTGTTGTTGTTGTTGTTGTTGTTGTTGTCAATGCCATTGACAAAAGTAAGCTGAGCAGAGCTACTCGTAATGGCGTGCAATTATGATGACTCTTTGCCTCGCCGTGGTAGGGCCAGTTATTCAAACATTTTCAAGTACATCTAAATAATTTCTGTGTCGAATTTGGTTTGGCAAACTCATAAACGCTTTGACGCGCTTCAGCAATTTACATTTTTGGTCGAGACAACCTTGCCAAGAGCAGGCAAGGTTCCGCTGACCGATAGGCATCTCTGGCCTTAACTCTGTGAAAACTCACTCCGAATCCATTGCAGTCAACAATGTGGGCAGAATGTATGACTATCCGGAGACACTGGATCTGGTGCCGGAGGACACCATCTGGGACATATTGACCATCAACATTGGCGCCGTCACCATGCTGACTCGCAAGATCGTGCCGCAAATGAAGGCGGCACGCCGAGGCGCCATCGTCAACATTGGCTCCGGCTCGGAGCTGCAGCCGATGCCCAACATGGCCGTCTATGCGGCCAGCAAAAAGTATGTCAGCTACTTCACCCAGGCCCTGGAGCAGGAGCTGGCCGAGCACAATGTCACCGTTCAGCTGGTCATGCCCATGTTTGTCATTACCAAAATGAATGAGTATTCCGATTCGGTGATGCGCGGCGGCTTCCTGATACCCAATGCCCGTAGCTTTGCACGCTCCGCCGTATTCACGCTGGGCAAGACCAGCATGACAACGGGCTTCTGGACGCACGGACTGCAGGTGAGCCAATGAACCAATTAGATTATTGAATTAATTATTTATTGAACTTTGATAAATGCAATTCCCATTTGCAGTACTTCTTCATGAAGATGGCGCCGCAGCATCTGCGCATGCTCATTGGCCACCAGTTGACGCGGCGACTGCGCCTCGAGGGCTTGAGCCAAAAGAAGTTGACTTAGAGCATGCTGCAAGCCAATTGCAGCAATCGCACATAAAACGTACATTTTAAGAGTCTTGTAAATATTGGCGCCTAGTATTAACCAAATTGTTAACTGTAAACACTTTTCGTAAAAAAACCGGATAACAAATTCAGCTTTATTTTTTGCCAGCCGATTGCATAATTTCTGCAATAAGAGAGAGATACAGAGAGAGAGAGAGAGAGAGAGAGAGAGAGGAGTCCACTTGGAGTGGAGCGGCGTCACACGGAGACACAGAAACCGGTCTTGACCAGCGGGCGGAAGAGCCATCTGAAAGCCATGCTTCATTGCATCGAGTTGGCATTCTTGAGGCTTAACATTGTTTGAATTTGGCTAAAACCCAAATTCGAATTATTGTACATGCATCGGCATGCAAATGAACGTCTAGTGGAGCTCGTGAGGGACAGTGGCCCCAATTATGCAAGCTGAAATTACAATGCAACTTTTCGACTGAGGCAGTAGGACAGAGGCAGCTAGCCTCTACAGCAATTGATGGATGGCCCAAAGCTTTTCAATGTTATTTACAAACCTCAGAGTGAGCAATTAGATGGGAGTAACATTAAAAGATTCAAGTGCAGCTTAAAGAGAGCTGCAAAGTAGGCCAGAGAGACATGAAACCAAGCAATGTAAAAATATTATATTACGGAAAATATAAGGAATAAAGTCTCATTAAAAAATATGAAATATTAGTATCAACAATCCGAGTACTCAAAATATCAAATATTTGAATATTTTTATCAAAATTTTTAAAGCATTTTTCATGTTTTTCTCTTTAATCGAAACTCAAGTCTTATCAGATGTATAGACTAAACTCTAGGGTTACGTATCTTTATCCATAGTCAATTACAACTACATCTCATATGAGAAGCGTATAATGGCTGCCAAGACTAATGAAACATTCATGCCATTTGTCAATTAGTCTGAAACGAAAGCGTAATCAGTGGGGCGAACAGGTGAGGCCATCAAAGGTGTGCGCTGTAAAAGTAACCAAAAGCATAAACGGAAATCACATATAGCTTCCGGCAGCCAAAAACTGTTCACATATTTCTGAAATAATTTTACTGCTTTTATTTTTTCATGATTTCTTTTAACGCTGAAATTTTCTTACTTCACAATTTAAATAATTATAAAATGAATAAATCAATCCAAAGGTTTTTTTTTAAATTTCCACAAAAATCCACACGTAACAGGCAGAAGGAGGCGTGGCAGTCATCGTTATATATATATATGTATATGGATGTCGAGCTAAGTTGGACGCGCCGACTGTCCTAGGAATTTTAAATGCTTACTCGTGTATACCATAAGCAATAAGAGTTTATCATGTTTCTGTTTGATCGATAATAATCGATAAATGGACTTCGTTTTTAAGGGTAATTTGAATAGTGCAAGAATTATAGCTTTCAGATTTGCGATTTAGGCACATTAACTGAATTCTTATATTAATTCGATATTTTATGAATGCAGACCAAGTTCCATTCGCAAATTTTGATATCTCTCAAAAATTCAGAGCGGCGTGTTAGCGTTAATGGTTATTTTTCCAAAACAATCTTCAACTTAATAACAAATGTCTCATAAAGCTGCAAAGTAATTTGTCTTCAAACACGTTTTCTATAATCTTTTGGTTGAGTAATTTCATTCGGGCAGTTAAAGCTATGATACTCGTTCATACATGAGATAACCAAAATGCATTTCACTGATGTGAAAATTTAGTTTCATGAATTTCGCCTTCATAACTCAACCCAAACTAAATAATCTTGTAACTTTAATTGCCAGCAATGCTTCAGATACAGATAATAGATGAAACATACTTACTTCGGTTACATTACATTAAGTTTTCCCCTTATTTGATTTCAAAGACTGAAACAAATTCATTTCATTAATTTTTTGTTGTAATAAATGACTGAATTAATTAAAGTCTCAAATTCAGAGCGGAACCCAGAATAAAATCACTTTAATTTTTTGCGTTTTGTTATTTTATTCCTGCTTTTTGTTGTTATTTTGGTTGTTGTTGCATTTTGTTGCTTGTGGAGCTGTTGGTCTTGTTGTTATTTACGAAAAAATGCGAATTAATCGAAATTAATCGAATTAAATAAAGATCTTACATATTATGTGCAAAGTGTTAAACAATGAAATTCATAATTTTCCTATGTGCGCCGTGAGCTGTTGTTGTTGTCTTTGCTGTTCGTATTGCTGCTGCTGTTGTTGTTGTTGCTATAAACACTTATACTGTACATTATGGTCAATTAATAATTAATTGAATAAATTCCATTGAGAAACAAAATTTTTGCCTGTTAATATTTATGATTAGAGCAGATGACGGCAAGGCCTGGCAGGCTATAAAAGTTGTGAGTGTCCCAAACGTTCCAATTGGATTGCACGAATGACTGCAATATATATAGATAAATATAAATATTTTATACTATTTACAAATGTGTGTACTTAAATCAAATGCAACTCACCGGAACACACATTTCCTCTGGCAATCGCGGAGCCCCCAAATGGAACCGGGCAGCTGCTCTTATTGCCTGCAGCTTTGACGTCATCTACGGGAAATAAGAGTCCAATAAGAATTCCCAATAAGAATACATTTATTACAAGCATGCCAACTAGCATGGGCAGCTGGTTGGCTCAGTAAAATATATTTAGTTTGCAATAATTAGTATTAGTTTGCAATTCCAAAATAATTTATTTGAAAAGGGAAATTTTTACGTTTTGGCAGCCAATATTGAAACTCAATTTGCTGTTTTAAATATATACTATAATGGCTTTTCTTCGCATTCAAGTGGGCAAAACACATAAACAATGGCCACAACAAATGTGTTTTTAAAAAAATGTTATTTTTAGCTGAGATTAAATAAGTTGAATTCTTCAGATTAAATACACTTTGCTAAAATAAAATTTTATTTATGAAAATTCTTTTTCACTTTTTATTGCAAAAAAAAAGACTTGTTAAAGAAATAAATAAATTTTCTTTTAATGCATTTCGCAAATATTCAGAAATACTCAGGAAAAAAAAAGAAATCTAAAGGAAATCAAAATATGATCAACGCTCAAAATATCACGTCGAATTCATTTGACAAATCTCACACGCTGCAATAATATTTCAAAAGCTATTTTATACACATGTACACATACATAAACAAATTATATATACATGTGTTTTATATATATAACGCAGGGTAGGTTAGATCTCTAGTCAGCCATGTTACTAAAAAAAATTGAAAACTTTTTGGAAAAAGATATTTTTTTTTTGTAATTTTTTTAATGTCGCAACTTTTGACAGCGTTGCCAAAAAATAGAAACCAAGCATAATCATGAAATATAGCTATCTATGCTGAACTATAGTATATGTTCCTTCATCTTTTCATTTGTGCTAATTTAAATAATTAATGTCAGAGAACTGCTCATTATGAAATGGAAAATACTTTTTGATTTGCGATGGATGGCAATAAATTGAATTTGTTTTTTTTTATTATTCTGATTCTTATTTGGCTTCGACTTACCTGACTTAGGGTACTAATAGAAATCCATTAAATGCTAGCGACTTAATCCTAGTCGGTAAGTAAATTGGTTTTTATTTGTATCATGTTTGAAAATGTTGTTGTTGGAATTCAAAATTCAACATGTAAGCATATATCCTTGAACTAGTAAACTCGAATCATAATTTAGAAGGCGGCTTCGTAGAAGGCATAGAGCAAGAAGAGCAAGAAGGCCAGGATTAAGAAGGTGGTAAACAAACTTCTTGCTTCATTCATTTTGTTGTTGTTGTTGTTTTTGTTGTTGTTTGCTGGATTTGGATTTTTTAATAGAGAAATAAAATTATAATTAACTAATTAGTCAAGTGTGGAGCACAGCTATGAATATTGTTTAGGGTCTGTTATATCAATGCACTCTATATGATTACACACAGTTTGGGTACTTGCAGGAATCGGCAGACCGTTCGTAGCAAATGGCACGGAATAACTGAGAAACGCACCAAAAAATATTTCTCCACAAACTGGCCTACAATTTTTATCTAGAATCAAAATCGGACAGCAGCCCGCAGTCAGCAGCCAGCTCATTGGAATTATGGTTCATATATGTATATAATTATATACATATATATCTACATATGTGACTATCTGTATATATAAATATTCATATGGCCCAAATACACATATATTTCAGAGATATATATGGTAGCCGGTCACACGTATTGGTGTCCAGTTGTTGCGCATATTTTGATGCGGCACACATCGTCTCTATATGTGTGGACAACCGTACGTATACGCAATATTATATATAAGTATGTTTAGATTCCATGTGGATGCGTGTGGGTGCTACAGCTGTAGCTATAGCTCTTGACAGCCTTCTTTCTGCGGCAACTTCTCCATAGTTCTCCCAGTTTCTCTCGTTCTCGTCTTTTCAATGCGGCCATAATTCATTTGAGGCGTTGGCAAATTGCTTTGCACCCCGTGCAGTGTATTTCTTTTCGAAATTTATTTATTTCTTTGTTATTCAGTGATTGCTTCTATGAGGTTGGCCGACGTGCTACTTTACCTTCCAGGCAGCTGTAGTCTAAATCGCAATTCGCATTTATTTTCTTTTGGCCTGCTAAATACGTTTTCAAATTGCTTGTGCCACATGTTTGTTTGGCTTTTTTGAAACATGTCCAAAACATTTCAAGGCACGTAGCCCCGACTCTGCCCTACATTTGCTGCTAATTGAATTTTTCGATAGCTAGGCGCATACATATTTTGGAGATTCCTTTTTAATTTAGTCTTTGCAATAAATTATTGAATGCATGTAATGAAAAAATTGTCGAATTTCCAGGATCTCTTAAACACAGAATTTTATATTCAAATTTCTTTTTCTATAAACACAGGGAATTGTTTACAATTTTATATTGCTTACAATTAAAAAGTATCTTTAAAAGTTTTTCTAAAATTTTCAGAACATTATGAATATGTTTACCGAAAAAACAATTTGTCATGGAATAAGTCTGCGCTTTTGGGCATTGTGTTCCTATTGTGTTCCTGGGTATATACTAATAGTCCTTATTACTTTACCCAAATGTAAATTATTTTTGCGTAGACATGTAAATATTTATATGAACATATAAAAATACATACATATACATTTCTAAGTTTTTAACATTTATGCTAAACCATACATTACTCCAAACCAATATAACCGTTTACGCTCTGTGAACGAATATAATATATATATATATTGATATATTTATGCTATGCTTTCAGATTTTTACTTTTAAAAAAATTTCCAATCAATCCTCGCATCCTTTGAAGTCTGATATATTTTATCATTTTTCTTAGTTCCTGAAGTACTATAAATTGTTATCTTAATGATTTTAATTTACAAAAAAATCTATGAACTATATCGTTATAATATATAAATATAATCCATACGTATACATATATTTATACTAAACCTTAAACCATCCCCAAATTTCATTATTTTTCTTACTTCCTAAAAAAATTCACACTCACCTTTGCTCCATGCCCCAGCCTGGAGTCAGTGTTATTTACAACACTGCATAGATGATCCAGAGGAAGAACAATAAAATGGCCAAAATGCCAAAGGTGGTGAACAGATTCGTGGCCTCACTCATTTTAATTCAAGCGCTATAAATAAATGTTGGAAAATACAGGCAGTTAATAAATTATTAAGGTATCATATTAGATTCCAATTGGATGGTTTTA